ATGAAAATGAAAACATCAACTCTGTGAGATGCAGCTAAAGCAGTGTTTAGAAGGCAAATAACCATTTAACCCCACCTGTGGTCAGCAAACATACTCAATATGACTTGAATCATTTTAACTTGTGGAGCCTCAGTTTACATCCTGGCGCTTAGCAGACCCCATGGCATGCAGGAGATGCTGGCTGCTCCCTGCAGGGGGCCTGGGCTCTGTCTCCAGTGAATGAATCTGGGCTGTTTCACTCCCTAGAGTGCCCAGGAGGTGCAGTGTCACCCTGCAGTGGCAGGGGCAGCTGTGATGAAGGCATGGAAGGAAGTGGAAGTTGCTCCTGTCAAGTAAGTTCCAAAATGTGTTCTCTGTAGCGAAATGGGGGATGGGAAGGGAGAGAATTTGACTCTGTGGGAAGGTGGGAAATGGCAGAAGGAGGGTATTGGTGCGGGGGGGGGGGGGGGGGGCGCCACGAGGGCGGGGGGGAGGATAAAGAAGATTGAATACTGCCAAAATAGACTATTTGCAACTAGGAAAATGGGATGAGGAAAACTGCTGGAGCCGTTATTTCTTGAAGTGACACGTGCAGGCATTGAGATTGATTGGAATTCATCATAATCCACCCATATAACTGATAGAAGCCAATAGGAAAAATATAGATCAACAGAGAAGATGGAAAAAATATTCAAAAAGAAGAGCATTCTCCCTCTTCCCAATTCTCCCATCCCCTTCCTTCCTGTTGACCATCCTTAAACATATCCACGTATTAAAAGTCTTCAAGAGTAGTGATCTTAGCTAAACTAAATTTTTAAAAACTTAAATCTGGAACAACAATAAAACGACATCTTGTGAAGGCTGAGGACCTCTAGGCAGGTTCATTAATATCTCCACAGCATTGTTGGGTCTGAAAGACCATCAATGATATTGACTGAAGATAACATAAAATGTATATGTAAAGATACTCTGTGAAGCTATACAGAAGTTGTGACTACTAATAATCACCCTGCTGGTCCACAGGTGGGCCCTTGGCTGCTGTCTTTGGCATCCTTGACCCACCACCAGATGTGCCAACTGAAAATTTCTTTTTATTTCATGAAAGTGACTGGTTGCAAGTGTGTGCCCTTAGAGGATTTAAACACAAAGCAATGTTTGTGCCTGGGATTGAGTTCCACTTCCTTCCCAAAGGCAAAACCAAACAGACCCAGCTCCATTCTACCCTGGGGAGAAATTACTGTCACTCTTAGAACTTTCTATCTTTAGTTCTGCAGCTTTCTTCATGGGAGGCCCAGGGGTTTCCTGAGTAACAGAGAGAGGAGTTTTACTCAAGGTGACCTTGGGTTTCATGTTACCCACCTGGGGTGTTTTGCAGGAGGGGTTTGGTGGGACAGCCTGTGAAATGTGTGCTGATGACAACTTATTTGGACCCAACTGTTCATCAGGTAGGTCTGATTTTTGTGTGATCCCCCAGAGATCACTGTTGGGTGGAGACGGTCAGCCTTGGGAATAGTTACACAGAAACAAGTCTACACCAGAAGCTGACAACCATGTTAAAACTGCAATTCACTGCTCAAGAGAGAGATGCGTAGTGTGCTGTGTTTGCAGTCCTTGCAGGCAGCACTTGCCGGGAATGCCCTCTGGCCTGCCTGCGAGGCATCCTGTTTCCTCCCCAAGCCTCCAGGATCTAGTATTGCCTGTTCCTGCCTGGAGAGCCCTTCTCTCAGATCATTTTGGATCCTGGTCTCAGTCTAGATCTGCCATAGATACCACCACATTTGTCCCCCTTCCTTTTGGGATTTCACAAATAAATAAACACCTACAGTATGCAGATGGCTTCAGTTTCAACGAACAGACCTGAGACTGGCTTCTTATGTTGGGTGCGCTCAGGAATAAGCCATGAGACGAGGATTCCGTTGTATTGGGAAGCTATCCCAGCAGACACTGGAGTATGAGAGGTTGCACAGGTGCAGCATCTTGGAGTTATTTTATTCAAAGAGAGAACAAACCACTATAGGGGTAGCAGAATAACTTCTAATGCAAAAGTCCTAATCTCTGAGGCCGGGGAATGTCTGACCTTACATAGCAAGGGGGGGGGGGGGTGCAGTTAAGGTAGCAGACAGAAGTAAGTTTGCTCACTAGCCAGCCTTAAAATAAGACAATGTCCTGGGTTATCTGGGTAGGTTCCACATGATCGCAAGTGGTTTTAAATGTGGAGAGGGAGGCAATCAACTCAGTACAAGTGATGTAATGGGAGAAAGGAGCACAGGCATCCTAATGCTTGATTTTACCACTATGGTTTTTTTGTTGATGACAATATGTTTGTGTTGTTTAAAATACCAGGTGTCTTAATCCATTTCCCATTGCTGTACAAAAATACTTGAGGCAGAATAGTTAAGAAAGAAAAGAGGTTTGGTCAGGTGCTGGGGGCTCACACCTGTAATCCTAGCTACTCAGGAGGCTCAGATCTGAGGATCACAGTTTGAAGCCAGGTAGGGCAGAAAAGTCCCCATGAGAGTCTCATTTCCAATTAACCAGTCAAAAGCCAGTGGAAGAGCTGTGACTCAGAGTGGTAGAGTGTTATCCTTGAGCAAAGGCACTCAGGGACAGCACCCAGGCCCTGAGTTCAAGCCCCAAGACTGATTTTTTTTTTAAAAAGGTGGGGTAGGGGTTGTGTAGCTCACAATTCTGGAGGTAGAACAGGTCCAAACAGCATATATCTGGCTCTGGAAAAGTCCCCTGACTGTATCCCATCATAATAAATGGTATGGCTGGAGTTTTAGAGTATGAGAGATCACTGGAGGAATGGGAGTGGCCCATTTGTAACAACCTCTCTCTAGTACTAATAATGAAAGAATCAGAATAATCTCTTCTAAGAGCACATTCCCATACCTAGTAACCTTTCAGCAATGCTGTCCTGACTCAAAAGCACAATTGCAAGAGGTAGTACATGGAAGTATCAGAGCCCTGGATACAGACTCAGACTAGCTGTCAGCTCTAGATCTGCTAGCTTGCAACCATTAAATCAGTTGATAGAGGTTAAGATGGATGAATGGATGTATGGGAGAAATGATGGGTGGCTGGATGGATAGATGGGTAGATGGGTGGGTGGGTGGATGGATGAATGGTTGGGTAGATGGATGGGTGGTGGTTATTTTTCTTATTTGTTAACTCCCAAAAGGAAGAGAAACATTTGAATGGACGGATAGATGGATGGATGGATGGATGGATGAATGGATGGATGGATGGATGATGGATGGTATATGGGTGGGTGGGTAGGTGAGTGGAAGGATGGATGGATAGATTGATGGATGGGTGAATGGATGGACAGAAGGATGGATGGAGACATTTCCTATCACCAAGCACATAAGGAGCTTGCAGGCGCTTTCAGCCAGGTGTCCACTGGGTGCCAGTGTTGCCTTGTCTACCATGGTGCCACTCTTGCCTAGAAGTGGGACAGCTTTATTAGGCATAGTCTATTTTTAACACTGACTTTGCCCCACTGCCAGAGCACTCTCCTCCCAGTGTATTAGCCAGAGGTGACTCAGAGCTGCACCAGCCAAGTGTTTTCCTCTCTGCTACCAGTACCTAAACCGCTACAGGCCGCACTCCCTGCTAGGCAGTGTATAAAGCCTCCCTTTCTCTAACAAGACCCCCAGTAAATCCCACAACCATGTGTTAGTAATAAGAACAGTTGTTTAGACAGTCTCTGTGTGCTGGACCGTGTGCAGAGAGACATCATAAGCATAATCTCTTCGGCTCCTGGATACACCTCTAAGTTAGTGGCCTCATGTGCAGGTGAAGAAGCAGAGGTCACTTTAGGCCACAGAGTTATTATGGAGGCAGAGGCAAAATGTGACCCCAGGTGTCTGTCAGCAGACCCTGGCCCAACACACAGCATTGTTCTGTCCCTAATGGGCAGTTAGCACACAGGAAGTCTGAGGGGTGAGTCTAGGACCCACCCCTCCAGGAGCTGGGAGGGAAGGCAGCAAGAATTATGATATGGTGTAGACTCTCCCCATCCCTTTACCCCAGATGGGAGAGCTCGCTCTGACCCAGGCTGTGGTCTAGGTGACCAGAGTGGCTTTAGAGACTTTCAAGTCACACTGGCTAGAGTCACACTGTTTCTAGAGATTCACTGAGATTTGCTGACCAAAGACCAACAGTTTTCCATGACCAGCAGGAATGCCTCTGACTCATCTCCTTCTCAAGGACACTTTTGTGGCAGTAGCTGGTAAGCTCAGCAACGTGATGTCAGAGGTTTAGAAAGCCTGTCCCAGCCAGGCCAGTCAATCCAGCACATGCAGCTGCAAAACAATCTGACTGACAAGGACAGCACACATGCTTAGTGTGATTCACCATTCAGTCCCCAAGGGGCTCCTCGACTCTCCCCCAGGCTGCATGGCAAAAGAACCAGCTCTGTCACTCAATCTTTTAGGGTCTGCTTCCCCCAACCCTTTGAGCTCTTTGAAGAGAGATGTTCTTAGCTACTGGTTTGTATACCTAGTGCTTGGGTCAGAATCTGTAACTATGGAAGAGTTAGGTCAACGTGTTTTATTGTTGTTGTTGTTGCTTATATGCTGGTTCTGGGGCTTGAACTCAGCACCTGGACACTATCCCTGAGCTCTTTTGCTCGAGGCTAGCACTCTACCACTTTGAGCCACAGCATCACTTTCCAGCTTTCTGAGTGGTGTATTGGAGATAAGAGTCTCACTGACTTTCCTGTGCAACCGTGATGCTCAGATCTCAGCCTCCTGAGTAGCTCGAATTATACGCCTGAGCCACCAGGGCCTGGCAGCAATAATTTTAGTAAAATCTTTTCTATTAAATCCCATATAAGAAGCATTCCTACTGAGGCCCTTCTCCTCAATCCAGTTATCTCCACCCTCAGCTTGACTGCTCCCCAGCACTTGTTTGCAACACCATAGATTATGTGCTTTGCTAAGTCAGAAACAGCAGCAACCAGCCCTCTTGAATTGTTCATCTGTAATATGAGGATGATACTGACATCTACCTCATGGGGTGTTCTCTGTAAATGCTGTAAATGCTGTCTGGGATCTTTAGACTCCGGTCTCCATCACGCATTACAAACCCTCATTTTCTGCCTGCAGTGTGTAGCTGTGTGCACGGCGTGTGTAACAATGGGTCTGGAGGTGATGGGACCTGTACATGCTACTCTGCTTACACGGGCCCCAGCTGTGACACACGTAAGTCCTGTGCGCTTCCTCAGCAGACAACGCAGGTGTGGCATCTGCCCTCGCTCCCATTATTGGGGCTCTGCAGAGGTGAGGTGAAGGGGCTGAAATTCCATCCAATGTCTGGGAGGAAAGAAATCATCATTTTTTTAAGAGAATGAAAGGGGAAAGACGGAAGGACAAGAGGAAAGACGGGAGGGGAAGTGGAGGTAGTGGGGCACAGAGGTAGCTGTGCTTCAAGAAGGCTGAGCAGGGAGAGTGTGGGGAGATGGAGGAGAGGTAGACATTGGGGGTAGGCAGACAGGAGGGACCCTTGCTACAAGTTAGTCACCTACACAGGACGTACGGCACTGTCGCCATTACCTGTTGCAAAAGCAAGACACGATAATGGTGTCGGGGGAGGGGGTAGAGGAAAAGCCACAAAACTAGCAAGTAAGAATGGGATTCCAAGCATCTGAATCCATAGAAAATTCGCAAAGTAATCTACAACGCTGGACCCAATTAAGAGATAGAAAACACAATGGTTTACCAAAGGAAAATTTATCATGAAGATTAGTTCATTATGCTAGAAGAGTACTTGTAGAAAAAAATGCTATTTGTGGAGCACAAGGACTGCATAAAGGTGGTAACCCCCCATGGGTAGATTCAAGCCTTGCTGAAGAAATATGGTAGTGCCCCCCCCCAAGAAAAAAGTTAGCTTTTTTTTCATAGGCCAGTATCAGGCCACAGTCACTTGGTAAGGCCAGAACACCCTTTGCAACATGGTTGAGCCAAGCTGGTGGATAAAGACACAGAGGAAGTCAGAGGGCAGGGTAGAACTGGACAGCACTCAGTGTCTGGGGGTAGGGAGAACTTGCACTTTGTATTCTGCAAGGTGTCACCAGATCCAGGGTGGACAATCCAAGGTCACTAAAGGACAGCGCTGATGCTCAGCCTGGACATACATGGCATCCCTGAGCAGACAGGGAAGCCATGGCCGCAGCAGCAAACATCAGAAGAAGCACACCATGCACCCAGTTCCAAAAGCAAGCTTCCTGCTTCCTGCTCTGTCCGCTAGCACCCTCTACTGACAAATTTCAGCATCTCTCAGGAAAGGAAAAGCCCTCTCAGGAATTAGGAAACTGAGAAGGATGCATTGGATGTTGACTCCTCCTCCTCCTCCTCCTCCTCCTCCTCCTCCTCCTCCTCCTCCTCCTCCTCCTCCTCCTCCCCACCCTCCTCCTCCCCACCCTCCTCCTCCCCACCCTCCTCCTCCTCCTCCCCCTCCCCCTCCCCCTCCTCCTCACCCTCACCCTCCCCCTCCCCCCCTCCTCCCCCTCCCCCTCCTCCTCCCCTTCCTCCTCCTCCTTCGTCATGGGGCTTGAACTCTTGGCCTGGATGCTGTCCCTGAGCTCTATTGCTCAAGGCTAGCACCCTGCCACTTTAAGCCACAGTGTCATTTCTGGTTTTCTCACCAACTTTTCTGCCTGGGCTTACTTCAAATCATAATCCTTAGGTTTAGCCTCTTGAGTAGCTACGGTTACAAGCATGAGCCACCAGCACCTGGCTGATGTGGATTTTTAAAAAATCACATCTTAGCTGGCTGGCATTGATAAGTAGTGACATGTGACATACATCCGGGTCTCACTGACTTGCTACATGCAGAAAATGGTCCCAATACAACCATCCATAGCCAAAGAGTCACCAGGCACCATGTGGGAGAAGTTAAGGACACACAATCCAATCTCCAGGAGTGACCCAGCTTGCAGAAATGACTGCCCCATGCCTGAATCCCAGTCCACATCTGCACATCCAAGGACTCTCAGGGCAGTGGCTGCTTCTTGAAGCTGCCTCTCTTCCTCTCAAGAGTGTGCTTTATGTTCATTCTGCTTAAGTTCCCTTTAGGTACATCCTTGATTCTTTTTCAGATAAGACCAAAAATCTTCTGGTCTCAACTTGGTAACCACAACCAGTATGAGAGAGAAGGTTGTACGTGGTGTCTTTGGAGCCTGAGATGTAAACACATTGGCTATGCAGCCTGTGGCACTAACTTCACTTATCTAAGTGTTAGTCTTCAACAAAAGGAAAAGTTGCCAGGCATCAGTAGCTCATGTTTGTGATCCAATCTGCTCAGGAGGCTGAAATCTGGGGCTCACAGTTTGAAGCTAGCCCCAGCAGGAAAGTCTCTGAGACTCTTATCTCTAACTAACCATCAAAAAGCTAGAGGTAGAGGTATGATTCAAGTGGTAGAGCTCTAGCCTTGAGTGAAAAAAGCCAAGCAGAAGCACAAATTCCCAATTTGAAGCCTTAGTTATAGGCATTAAAAAAGAACAAAGTATGCCAGGCACCAGTGGCTCACGCCTATAATTCTAGCTACTCAGGAGGCTGAGATCTGAGGATCTGGGTTCAAAGCCAGCCCGGGCAAGAACATCTCATGAGACTCTTATCTCCAATTAGCCACCAGAAAACCAGAAGTGGTACTGTGGCTCAAGTGGTAGAGCATTTTCCTTGGGCTGAAGAGCTGAGGGACTGCACCCAGGCCCAGAGTTCAAGCCCCATGACCAAAAGCAAAAAAAAAAAACGAAGTGGTGCGAGGTTGAAATTCAACAATGTAAAGTCATTTTCTTAAAAGCTCATATCGTGCTATAAGCAGTAAGATAGATAAAATAGCCACTGCCTTGCTAGGCACCACTGGCTCACCCCTGTAATCCTAGCTACTCAGGAGGCTGAGATCTGAGGATCACGGTTCAAAGCCAGCCAGAGCAGAAAAGTCCCCATGAGACTCTATCTTCAACTAACCACTCATAAACCAGAAATGGTGCTGTGGCTCAAGTGGTTGAGTGCTAGCCTGGAGCATAAAGAGACTCAGGAACAATGCCCAGACTCTGAGTTCAAGCCCCACAAACAATAAAAAATAAAAAAAAAAACAACCACTGCCTTCTCCTCCTGCACAGGAAGCAAATCACCCCAGTCTCAGGTTTGTGGGACACTTCTGTGTCCTCAGCTGGCTTTCTTCCCAGCCCCTCCCACAGCCCGGTGGACTCAGGGACAGAGGCCTTCTCAGTACGACAGGGTCTCAGTCTCAAAGCCAGCCCAATGGAGAACACTGTCAGATTGCTTTCCAAGTGGGAAAATATTTTTGTCAAGTCAAAATATGAACAAGAGACTGGAACAAAAATATTTACAACTCACATGGCAGATAAAGTTTTATAATAATATAAGGGCCATGACCCAACTTTAAAAATAGACCTAGGATCAAATGATACTCACAACAAGAAAAATAGAAACTAGGAATAAAATGAAGAGGGTAACAGAGCCACACACAATCATGCATAAAAAACACAGCCATATTGGGATTGGACGAGAGTATAGGAGGTTCTATTCTGGTTTGATGTTGATGTTGCTGCCATTATGTTATACAGATTGAAAAGATACTAACTATCCATGGGTATCAGAGAAACAGCAATGGGGATTCAGATTGTTATAACCTACAAGGGGAGGGCAGTTGTCTAGCGAATTTTAAGGCATGTTTCTGGGATGTCTATAATCCTTGTTACTCAGGAGGCTGAGATCTGAAGATCACAGTTCGAAGCCAGCCCTGGCAGCCAGATCTGAGTGACTCTTCGCTCCAACTAGCCAGCAAAAGTTGAAAGAAGGAGTATGGTTCAGGTGGTAGAATGCCAACGTTGAGTGGAAAAATCAAGCAGGAATGCAAAGCCCTGAGTTCAAGCTCCAGTATGGGAACTAAAACAACAACAAAAATTTTAAAAAAAGGATTCTATTTTGTTTTATTTTGTTGGGGAAAATCATAATAATTTTATAAATAGATGGATTCTATTGTTTGATACGACAGAGAGTGGAGGAGAGAGAATTGAAACAATTTGTTTCAAGTTTGCATACTTTGTATTTTCTTTTTTTCTGCTTGGTTTTTTTATGCAATTTTTATTGTAAAAATACTGTACAGTGGGGTTACAGTTACATGAGTAAGGTAATTTTGAGTACATTTCCTATCGAGCATTATTGCTTCCTCCTTTGTTTGTCCCCTACCATCCCTTCCTTCCCCACTTCCCCAACTACTCCCCTCCTCCCCCCACCCCCCCCCCCCCGCAAATTGTAACGTTCATTTTCAACATAGTGTCTTGTACATCTCATTGTTACAATGGATCAACCTGTATTTTCTTAATTGTTGCAATGAATCTCTAATACTTCTCTCCCCTCATCCTCCACTGGTTCTGGGGCTTGATCTCAGGGCCTACATACTACCTCAGATTTTTCACTCAAGTCTGGTGCTCTATCACTTGATTCATACCTCTATTTTTGGCTATTTTTGGTGGCCAATTGGAGATAAAAGTCTCACAGACTTTCCTGCCCAGGCTGGCTTTTAAACCACAATCCTCAGATCTCAACCTCCTGAGTAGCTAGCATTACAGGCGTGAGCCACCAGTGCCCAGCGCAATTACTTGTTAATAAAAAGGGGTTTAGAACAGTTATTTTCCTAATGTGTTATACCCCAACAATTGTCTACACAGCTGTCCCTGAGTGTGCCTCCTTGCTGTGCCCAGAAAATTCCAGATGTTCCCCCTCCAGTGAAGATGAAAGCAAACTAGAGTGCAGATGCCTCCCGAATTACAAAGGTGATGGCGAGACATGCGAGCGTGAGTACAGCTCCCCTGCACACCAGCGTGCACACCCATGCCAGGAAAAGCACCTCCTCCTGCAAGTGACTAACACAGTGACGTCCATGGCTCTCTGTGTCCCTGAGACATAAAGCAAAAGCACCAGGCATGAAACTTACCATGCGATCATCCTCAATGGGCCATTCTCAATGGCGGCTTCTTACGTTCTCCAAGCACAGGCATAGGCTTTACTACTATACATTGTCTTTGCTTTCTTTGTGGGTTTATTCCCTGTATGGAAAGCTCCACTGTGTATCTGTGAAGAAGATGAACTCAGGACTCAGAGTGCCTGCGCTCACAACCTATATCCGTCTATCATCAACAACGTGACCTTTAACCCGCCTGATCCCTCATTTTTCCCCTCTATCAGATAGGGATAATAATGGTCCCTACCTTAGGATATAACCGTAGGGATTAAATTAGTTGATATGTGGCAAATGCTTTAGATCAGGGCCTGGTGCATCTTATCAATCCTACATGCCTTAGTGCTTTCTTTCATGCTATTTGATATTAAATTCACACATAATATGGCCTATGATTCTGCCTGTATAGCCACATGTCAATCTGTTTAGTTTGGGAGGTGGTCTGAATGGTGATGGGATGAACCGGGACTTTCTTAAGACCCTTGAGTTGCCTCTGTGGTTCTGATTCTCTGTGGCCGCTGGCTTCCCTCCAGCCCATGTTTCCTTCCTGTTCTGGGATGAGCTGAACACCCATCTCATTCTGTCATTGCCTCTCCAGCCATCAACCCGTGTTTACAAAACATCTGCCACCCTCACGCTCTTTGCACCTACCTGGGACCGAACCGGCACCGTTGTTCCTGTCAAGAAGGCTACCATGGCGATGGCCAAGTGTGCCTGCCAATAGACCCCTGCCAGACTCACTTTGGAAATTGCCCTACACAGTCAACGGTGTGCAAATACGATGGGCCGGGCCAGGTGAGCCAAGGAGGTAGAGAGCTTCCTACAAGCACCCAGGATAACTTCCTGCCAGGGGTGGAACTCTGCCTCCCAAGTCACATCATGACCTTGACCAATGAAAGTCAACCTATATCTGGAGAGCTTTGCTGAGGTAGCCAGTGGAGAGGGCCTTGTCCTTAATTGGCACATTCATCCACCAAGCATTTAATAGGCTGCAAGTCAAGTGCTCAGTGGAAGATGCTTATCCCCACCCGCACCCCCACCCCCACCAAGGAGGTCATGCTGCACCTGAAGGAGAAAAGACTGGGTCCCCATCCAAAAATAGTCACAGGGCCCCTGCAAGTCTATCAGCAACCCAATGGGAAAAGTTGTAGCATTCTTCAGAGAACCCACCTCCAAATAAAGATCTTTGTAAGGGAAAATTCATGGCCTGGCCTGAATACAAGGCCCTGACAGTAAGAGTCAAAATGGGCTTTGTGCTGGGCACCCAGTGGCCCATGCCTGTCATTCTAGCTACTTGGGAAGCTGAGAATCTGAGGATCACAGTTCAAAGGCAGCCCAGGCAGGAAAGGCTGTGAGACTTTTATCACCAATTAACCACCAGAAAACTGCAAGTGGAGTTGTGTCTCAACATAGTAAAGCACTAGCCTTGAGCATTCAGGCCATGGGTTTAAGCCCCACAACCAACTCCCTCCCCCACTTCCCTGAAAAACAAATAAGAATGGACCTTGTCTCTTTACAAATAAGTCCCCTGGCAGATTTTCAAGTCTTAGAAAGCCTATTGATCACACAGAAGCAGGTCATTACATGATTGCTGGGCAGGGCTTTTCAAACTGAACGATATGAATATTTTGAACTCCCTAATTCTTTCTTGAATTGGGAGGCAACTACATGTGTTTAATAGCATCCCTGGTTTCTAGTAGCCCCAAGCTCCTCCCTTCATGACAATCCAAAAATCTAGCCAGGTGCAGGTGGCTCCAGGCCTGTAATCCTAGCTACTCAGGAGGCTGAGATCAGAGAATTGTGGTTCAAAGCCAGCCCGGGTAGAAAAGTCCGGGAGACTCTTATCTCCAGTTAACTACTCAAAATCTGGAAGTGGTGCTGTAGCTTAAGTGCACTAGCCTGAGCACAAAGAAGCTCAGGAACAGAACTCAGGCCCTGAGCTCAAGCTCCAGGACCAGCAAAAAAAAAAAAATCTTTAGCCAAGTAAAATGGGTCATGCCTGTAATCTCAGCTACAATCAGTAGGTAGACAGCAGGAGAATCCAAGTTTGAAACCAACCAAAATTAGTGAGTAAAACATTAGTGAGATGCTGGATAAGAAATGTACTCATGGGCTGGGAAGGTGGCTCAGTGGTAGAGCACTTGCCTTGCAATGCCTGAGGCCCTGGGTTTGATTCCTCAGCACCACATAAGCAAAAAAAAAAAAAAAGCCGGAAGTGGTGCTGTGGCTCAAGTGGTAGAGCGCTAGCCTTGAGCTGAAGAGCTGAGGGGACAGTGCCCAGACCCAGAGTTCAGGCCCCATGACCGGACCCAAAAAAAAAAAAAAATGTACTCATTACCTTGCTCATGTAACTGTAACCCCTTTGTACATACAGTATTTTCACAATAAAAAAACTTAATTTAAAAAAAATTAGTGAGGGCTGGGAAGGTGGCTCAGTGGTAGAGCACTTGCCTTGCATGCCAGAGGTCCTGGGTTTGATTCCTCAGCACCACATTAGCAAAAAGAAAAAAAAGCCAGAAGTGGCACTGTGGCTCAAGTGGTAGAGCGCTAGCCTTGAGCTGAAGAGCTGTGGGACAGCGCCCAGGCCCAGAATTCAGGCCCCACGACCGGACCAAAAAAATTTAAAAAACCAGAAATGAACAAAGAAATAAAACAAAGACCTCCAGGAATTATGTAGCTAATGAGGTCAAGGGTTAGGTGAAAAACTGAAAGGTCAAACTTCATAAACAAGAGGCATGATCTTCCCAACAGGTAAGATATATAAACACTATTTCCATTTCTGGAAACTTCAGCAAATGTTTACCTTAAGCCCACACTTCAGACTTAGTTGGATTTAGCTTTTTTTTTTTCAGTAGTGGGATTTGAACCCAAGACCTCATACTTGCTCTCCCATTTGAACCACACACCCAACCCACTTTTGCTGTAGTTATTTTCTCAAATAGGTTCTTGTGTTTTTTGCCTGGGACTGGCTTTGGCTCATAATCCTCTACCTACATTCCCCACATAGCTAGGATTACAAATGGAATTAACCATCCCCTAGCTTGTTTGCCTGGGCTGGTGTTAAACCATAAGCCTCCTGATCTCCACCTCCCAGGTAACCAGAATTACAGGTGTGAGTTACTATATTAGTCCTTCGAGTTGCCTTTTATGTCAGAATAAACATAAATATGGATTGACAAAGAATAGCAGCTGAGATTAACAACTTGTTTTTTCTTTCCTTGTCTCCGGAAGTCTCACTGTGAGTGTAAGGAACATTACCACAATTTTGTACCAGGAGTGGGGTGTAGTATGATCAACATCTGTGAATCAAAAAACCCATGTCACAGGAATGCAAACTGTACCACCATCATACCAGGCCAAACAAAGTAAGTTTCAGTCTCCCACCGATATCTTTTCCAAATGGACGATGTGATGGCCAGTCAATGTGATACCCTTCCTTCAAGGGGTAGAAGTGTGTTTTATGCAGCCATCTCTCTGCTCCTACTTTACATAGTAAATAAGTACGCGGAGCATAGTAGATACTCAGTAAGTCTATGTTTAATCAGTGAGGCACTCGGCAGTTATTTCTTTTAGAATGAGAGCTCTCTAGAATGTTGACCCAGCCTGACGTGGTTGGCTGGAGGAAACAGAAATCACATGAGAAATCACATGGGAAAGCAACTGGTATGGTTATTGCAGGAGCTCAATTGCTATTGTCCAGGAAGTGTTGCTTGTGAGTGTTGTGAACAAGACTGAGAAAGTTCTTTTGCACCCAAGGTATTTCCTGGACTCGGGTTTCAGAACAGGAAAAGATTTATATGTAAAATCCTAGGCAGAAGCAACTCATGTGGTCGAAAGAGAAGACTATCTGGAGTTTAAGGATCTGGGCTTGGCTGTGGTACCTACCAGAAGCATGACCTTAGGCAGGTGACACCTCCTCTCTGGCCTCAGTTTCTCTCTATACAAGTGAACACAAGAATACCTACTCCAAAATGGGAGGGGGGGGTGACAATTTCATGAGCAAATGGAACCCAAGAACCACATAAGAACATGGCTAGAACTATTAAGCTGGGGAGCTGTGTTTGAATGAGAGATTGGCCGGAAGCTAGAACCCACGTCCTTTGACCTCCTGAGACTGTCTCTGTGTCACTTGGCCCTCATGATCCTCAGCCTCTGCAAAGAGGATTCATGCTTGCTCCCCTTGTGAGCTCCAAACCAGGGCAACACTGAATGGTGCAATCCAACGGCACCGCTGCACTTTCCAAGGCCTTGTCTATCTTCCATGATGGAGGGGTCATCGGGGCGGAGATTTGCCCAGACAGATCTTGTTAGCACTGTGTTCTGTCTGGTCAGTGCACACACTAGGCATGGAGTAGAAAGAGCTTTGATATCAAAACACCCATCTTTGTAACCCAGCTCTGCCACCTGCCCGCTCACAACTAATCATCCTGATAGTTCTTCAACTAAAAAGGGGGAGAAGAGCAGTTCCCACCAGGACTAAGAGGATGTCTTGAGGTCATGTGAAGGGCCAAAGGACAAGGTATGAGGCCCCCGCAGCTCTCTAGGCAAAAGGGGGCACCCTCTGAGCGGTTTGATCCACAAACTGGTTGAAAAGAGATGTGTGGGACCATATTTAGAAGCTCAACTGGATTCATGCGGGGGGGGGGGGGGGGGAGGGGGAGAGAGGGGGCAGGATGGAGCTGTTTAAATTCCACGGCTCCCCATGAGTCACATCCGTGGTATGGAATGACCACAACAACCCTGTCACAGCCGTCTCCCTCTATCAATCCTTTCTGGAACATTCTCCTACCTCATGTTGGCTCTCCCCTCATCCCCCACTACCACCCTGAGCCACATCTCCAGTATCCTGGCTAATGTCACCATCCCATGTACCTTGTCAACCTCTGCCAGCTGTCAACTCCTACTCCTGGCAATAGCCAACTCTATTCACAGCCAGCTGAGCACGAAACCGCCAGGTATCACACAAGCTTTCTGTTACCATGTTGATGGGCTGAAATTGGCCCAGCTGAGAGGGCAAACTGTGGAAACTGGAAAGTGCTATAACTTAGGGCCCCCATCCCCACCCCCAGAGCTAGAAGTTCCACATTTGCCAACACAACACTGGTTGGCACATCTTTTAACTCTTTCTTAGGTAGTGAAACCATTGTCTAAAAATGTCGATGACTTTTAGTAGTTATGCACTCATTTCTGTTGGCTATGCTGTCTATTTAGTTCAATCCCTACTCTACAAGTGTTCATTACCAATTATGGCCCACATTGTAGCACAAAGAAAGCCATGAGGAACCTTTGCTCTGGCTGCATGGGGAGGCAAGCATTCGTCACATCACCACACAGATCAGGATAAAATCACAGCTGTAACTTCTGCTGCCCCGAAGGGCTTCATGAAGGTATAGATCAGGGATCACTTCCTCAGTGAGCGGAAGCATCAGAGAGGCCTCAGCTAGAAGGGAGTGGGTGGGGAAGCATGTCCTGAGCTGATCAGTTCTGAGAATTTGCTGTCCTGTAGGCTGGTTTCAGTTGAAATTCTGCAGTAGGCCCCTAAAATCTATAGTTATAATAAACGCTCCAAGTGATTCTGATTTGTATGGTACTCTGTGTGTGTGTGTGTGTGTGTGTGTGTGTGTGTGTGTGTGTGTGCATTGGGCTTTTTTGCTCAAGGCTTTTTGTTGGTTAATTGGAGATGAAAGTCTATTTAACTTTCTTCCCAGGCTAGCTTGGAATTGCATTCCTCAGCTGTCAGCCTCCTGAGTATCTGGGATTACAGACTTGAGACACGGACACCCGGCTACATGGTCTGTGGAGCTTTTAAATATACTCAAGCAGAGAGCTCCCAAAAATACCTAGTGTTTATAAATGTGCCTGATTTATTAGGCATCCTGTTCTGGAAGGCCCCGTCTCTGTTAAGCTCTTAACTCCTCACTGTCTACCCCTCTCTTGGCCTTGTCTTCTCTACATCTGGACTTTGTTTCCCCAGCTGTGAAAGGAGGCCTGGGGCTATGTAATCTTGGTAGTCATGGCTCGAAGACTCTGAGAATGTGGTTTTCGTCTTCTCCACAGATGCACTTGCCGGAAAGGTTATGTGGGTGACGGCTTGTTGTGTTATGGAAATATCATGGAACGGCTCAGAGAATTAAACACTGAGCCCAGAGGAAAATGCCAAGGAAGTCTGACCTCTGTCATCTCTCTCCTAGGTATGAAGCAATGGATAGAGACTTCCTCCCCAGGGGCATCCATCTTTGGGGCCAAAGCGTCAGTAAGACCCAGGATGCAGAAGGGGATGGGCCAGGCCAATACCTTGGAGCTGGCGTTTTTTTAGGGAGATGCCATGCAGGTGGGAGGGAAGAGCGGACAGCTGCTCCCAACGAGACAGCTATTTTCTGAGAGGTCTACCAGGGTGAGAATTTGTAGGCAGAAAGCTGAGACTAGGGTCCTATGCCTCCCAAAGATCGACAGACCAGCAACAATAAGAGCTACTTATGTAATAGAGCCTTCACCTTTCCCTTGACATTATGGGTCAGTTCTTCGAGGGTGAGCAAAGATTGGCAGGTAGCACTGAGGATGGAATGACTAGGGCCCTGCTCTATGGAGGCATCGTTTGAATTTTGGAATGGTTTTGGTTGTGCAAACTATTGTCCTGATGCCACAAATTACCTAGGTCATATCCCAGGCTCCCTGGGGCAGGGTGAGAGTTTAAAATGCCCTCATTTTGCAAATCCTTGAGAATGAATAGTTAAAACCAATCATAGACTTAGACGAGACATCCATCAAACATGAATATGCCCAATTAACAAAATAAAACAAAACACACACAAAAAAACACCCCACAGATGACCAATTAACAGAAGCCCTACATCATCAGAATTTGTTAGTATTTACCAGTCACCAAAGATGACTTCTCAGAAAACACACACACAGGCATGATGGTGCATATCTATAATCCCAATTACTTGAGAGGTAGACACAGGTGGGTGACAAGTTCCAGGCCAGCCTGGCCAATGTTAACAAGACTTTATTTCAACAAAACATAAAAGGGGCCCAGGAACTGGCCCACGCGGTAGAGCACATACAGAAGGACTTGGGTTTACCAAAGAAGAGCAGAAGGAAGAAGAGGAAGAGGAGGAGGTACAGATGGAGGAGGATCTGCAAGCCTCTGCCATACATTCTTGGCATAATATTAATCTTTTATCTGTATACATATCTTGTTCTACAAGGAACCCAGTATTACTGGCACACCATGGGCCTGGGCCGTGATCTGTCATCTCCTCGCACCCTGATGGCCCAGCTTCCCTGGAGTGATGAACTAGACTAGTTTCATCATTTGCAAGACCAGTGGAAAATGTAAAGTCCTTCATTCAAGTAATAAACATTCCAATATGGCAAGAGGCGAGCATCAAGCCTAGGTGTGGAGCTCTTCTGAGCTGGTCTTAGATAGAACCCAGAGTTGTTGCTCACTGAAAGGATGACATCTCCAAAAGCCAGGCACAGGTCAGGGATTCTGGGGCTGTCAGAGGAACTTGCCATGGCTAACTAGCTCATTCTAGACTATCCCGGAAGCCAAGGCTGTAGCTGCAGAGAAACTCTTAGTGCCTCATATGGAACTTGTCAGGACCAAGGCCTCATGGTACTGAATCTCAGGGCTGTGCAAAGCAATTAGAACGAGTAAGGAAACAGTCACAGTGCTAGTACTGCCTTGATTTACTCCATGTGCTGCTGACCATTGGCGTTTCCTTCCTATGTGTGTTTCTATGCCTAAGATGAAGTATACGCCTGGCCTCTAAGTAGCCTGGGACCATTCACAGTGCTGCTACCATCAGACAGCGCCTTCAAAGCATCTGATGTGAGTATGTAAAATCACCTACATGCGTGGGCAAATGAAGAGAGCCTGAACAGGCTGAATCCTCTTCTTTTTATTCTTTTTTTTTTAATTGTAAAAATACCGTACAGAGGGGTTATAATTACATGGGCAAGGTAATGAGTACATTTCTTATCAAGCATTATTGCCTCCTCCTTTGTTTCCCCTTCCCATCCCTTCCCATCCTCCCCTGCCCCCCCCCCACCCAATCCTCCCCGCCCACCCCTACACACACCAAAGTTGTAAAGTTCGTTTTCAACATAAGGACTTGTAGATCTCATTGTTGCAATGGGTCCACCTGTATCCCTATTTAAATGATTTGTTTTTCCCCTTCCCCTCCACAAATTATACCGACATCAAATACAGTGAAAGCAGGGGTTATACTATGGGGAAGGGACATACAAAGCAACAAAGAAATAATCTTATAAATGTGTTAGAAACAATCACATGAAAGAAAAAAAACATATGAATACATATCTTAGGGTTCAGATAAGGGTCACCTTATCTGACCTTTTCTGCTTGACTCAGACATACACTAGATATTGCAAATAAGGGAAACCATGGGACCTATGTTTCTTTAGGCCTGGCTTACTTCACTTAATATAATTTTTCCAAGCCTTTCCATTTCCTAACAAATGGGGCATTGTCATTCTTTCTGATGGAGGCATATGAGTACATTTCTTTATTTATTTTTTGTCAATCATGGGGTCTGAACTTTAGGCCTGGGCGCTGTCCCTCAGCTCTTCAGCTCAATGATAGAGCTCTACCACTTGAACCCCAACGCCACTTCTGGCCTTTTCTTATGTGGTGCTGAGGAATCGAACCCATGCATGCAAGGCAAGCACTCTACCACTGAGCCACCTTCCCAGCCCATGAGTACATGTCTTATCAAGCATTATTGCCTCCTCCTTTGTTTCCCCTTACCATCCCTTCCCATGCTTCCCCCCTACCCACTCCCCCCCACACTCCCTGCCAAAGTTATAAAGTTCGTTTTTCGACATAACATCTTGTACATGTCATTGTTGCAATGGGCCCACCTGTATCCCTATTTAAGCTATTTCTCTCCTCTTCTATTTAAAGTTGGTTCTTACTTGAAATCCTAGCTACTTGGGTGGCTGAGATCTGAGGATCAATGTTCAAAGCCAAGCCTTAGCAGGAGAGTCGCAAGAGTCTTATCTCTAGTTAACCACCAAAGAGCCAAAAGTAGAGCTGTGGCTTCAGTGGCAGAACATTTGTCTGGAAAATACCAGACCCTAGGTTCCAACCTCAACCCTGCCCCCCCCCCCAAAAAAAAGTATAGATTTGGTCCATCAATCTACTTTATTTGTTCTTTTCATGAAATTTCAAACTATTTCATTCTAACACTCTTCCTCTATTCAAGTGTCAGGGTTTAGTCTAGGGCGGCGGCTCCCATGATAGGACACCAGGCAGGGCCTCCAGCCCTCACAATGCCACCATCTTTGAGGCCCACTCCACCCATGATTATACTCAGAAAATACCATCTGTATCAGAAAGAGGTCAAAGATAGCCCCTAGAGTACCCTGGCTTTGATGCATTATAAAACACATTTTCAAACCCCAGCCCTCTGTCCCTCTTTTCTTAGGTAAGAGCGCTCTTGATGGATAAAGAGGCTGCTAAGTACTTTGTGAAACTCCACATCATTGCTGGGCAGATGAGCACAGAGCAGATGAACCACACAGACACCTTCTACACCTTAACTGGGAAGTCTGGGGAGATCTTCAGTGCAGACAGGGTAAGCATTTCTCAGAATTGTACTCCTGGAGTTCTAGGCCAAAAGGGCCCAGCTCAGGCTTCCATGTGTCAGATTCCACCCCTCACCCCGGTATGCCAAATTAAGATACAAGAAGGATGAAGACAGAGAAAAACGTTCCTATAATGCACCAGCAAACCACAAGAAGAGGCAGAGCCATCTTCAGTGTCCAGTGTTCAATAGAGAAAGAATTGGGGCAGGGGTTAACAGTATGCAGGGTTACTGACCAGTCCTGCCAAAGGGATGGATGGTGTGGTGGTCAGAGGTGCTCAGAGGCTTGGTTTGGTTGATCATCATCTCTCGCTAGGGCCTGGTCATGATTTTACCAAGAAAGTCATGGTTGCCTGGGGAATACTGTAACTTCAATTGTTGTAACGGGATGTTATCTTTCTTGGCATCCCAGGTAGCTGCAAACTGGCTACTCACAGCAGACTGAGATAAAATTAAAAGAAGGATATCAAGCTTTGCTCCTGCTTTCCCTTGCAGACCCAAGTAGAGAGTCAAAGGTTTTTCCAGCCAGACCAGACTCTAGATGCACGTTACCCTCCCAGGACTAAGCCGTCTGTCAAGCCAGTGCCCAAAGCCTCCTTGACATTCATGTGTGGAATTGGTGATCTTTTCTTACTCCCTGTTGGTCAGACAAGTAGCAGAGAGTAATACCAATGCCATAGGGACGGGTATGCTGGTGCAAAAAGGGGGTTCCCGGTGTTTGATTTGGGTCGTGTTTATTTTGGTTACTGGAGCTGATCTAGGATCGCCAATGCCTTAGTGCTGTTTTCTTTTTGAAAAAAAATCTTGCCCTTTCCCTTTGCAAGACTGGAATTTCAAGGGACTCAACAACAAAATGTTGTATGTCTTTGGCCTGCACTACTTTATAGTGCCTAATAGCTGAGTTTGCTATATCACCAAGAGTCCTGTCGATGCTAACCACCAGGACAAGTAATCTATTTGTGCCCATGTAAGACTCAGAAGAGCCTGTAAGAAAGGTTCCACCAAGAATCTCCATTTTTCCTGTGGGACAGGGTAAGTGCCAGAGCCTAGAGTCCAATGTGAGTCTGTCTGACTCCAAAACCCACCACCTTAACCTTAACAGTCTGCTATATTGAGTATCTCACAATGGACAGTTAGACAGGTAGATGTTGGACAGATAGGCAGAAGATAGACGGGTGATAAGTAAATAAGTGGTAGATAGATGATAGATGATTGATTGATATAGTTAAAAAGTTAAATAATATAATCGATGATATATAAATCGTAGAGAGAGATAGATAGGCAGGCAGACAGACATACAGACAGACAGACAGACAGATAAATAGATAGATAGATAGATAGATAGATAGATAGATAGATAGATAGATAGATAGATAGATAGAGTGATGAAGTGATGTATCAATATCAGACCATGAAGATTTCTTCCTACACCCAGGACATGGTTCTTATTAGCTCATTTATTCATTGAACAAATATTTACTAAGTCTCCACTTGGAAGGGTTTCATGGAAAGGAAAAGGAATTAGTTTTTCCTTTAGCAAATACTTGTACCAAGTGTCTTTTCTGTGTAGTATACTAAAGCAAGCGAAGCATTAGGGCAAAGGGAACAGCTCTACCCAGCTGGAGTTTGCAGTTCATTGGAGGAGAGCACTTTAAAACCTTATCAGTGTTATATATCTGATAGTCACATAACTTTATCTCACTGACCTTAACAGAAACTATATGAAGAGAACCAAGAAGACACCTTCATGTTGGTTGGGTCACGTGACTTGCTCAGAATCTCACAAGCCATGAAGAGGGCAGCACCAAGGACTCTGGACTTCTGGCTTTTTGTCCACCAATGCTTGCTCCTTTCAGAACACTATACTAATACTTTATCTTTCTTTGATATTTTAGGATGGCCAACTTAGGCTTAAGCTCTATGGGGGCAAAAAGAAGGTACAAATTGTACAGGGGAACATCGTTGCTGCCAACGGGCTCATACACATCCTTGACCAAGCCATGGACAGCATACAGCCCACGTTTGAGAGCAACACCAAGGTGAGGCACTTCAGGGAAAAGTGACGCCCACCCGAATCTGCCTGCCTTGGCTGCATTCTGGAAGGAAGTGCTTGCCCTTCCTTCAGCCAGGAAGATCTCAAGCTAAGAGATAGAATTGCTATTTTTCAAATAAAGTTCTGAGTCTTTATGCAAAGGGCAATAAAGGCACACCCAGTAAGTAGAAAAAGCCTGGATAGGCCAGGCGCCAGTGGCTCACGCCTATAATCCTAGCTACTCAGGAGGCTGAGATCTGAGGACTGCGGTTCAAAGCCAGCCTGGGCACAAAAGTCTGTGAGACTCTTATCTCCAATAAACCACTCAGAAAACTGGAAGTGGTGCTGTGGCTCAACTGGTAGAGAGCTAGCCTTAAGCTAAAGAGCTGAAGGACAGTGCCCAGCCAAGAGTTCAAGTCCCACGACCAACAAAAAGAGAAAAAAGAAAAGAAAAGAAAAAATCCTGGATAAGTTTTAACCTCTTTTTATGGTACAAGCCTATAAAATTCCAGCTATGTAGGAAGTAGAGATGAGAGGATCATGCTTGTAGGCTTGTCTGGGGGGAAAAAAAAGTTAGTAAGACCCTACCTCAAAATTCAAGCTAGGTGTGGTGGTTCATGCCTCTAATTAAAATTATATAGAAGATGGAATAGGAGAATCACAACCCAAGGCCCATCCTGGGAAAAAAAGGTTGAGACATTACCTGAACAAGAAATAAGAAAGAACTGGGTATGTGGCTCAGGTGATAGAGTACTTGTCAACCCTGCCAATGATGTACACTTGAATATACCACACATCAGGTAAAAAAGACAGAGCCACAAGGTCTTGAGTTCAAACCCCGGTACAATCAATGGATAAAATAACATTTTTAGAATGTGTGGCAGATTGACCAGTTTCTTTTATATGCACATATAACACATAAGCTCTTTCCTAAATCCCTGTTTTCCTCAATGACTTTTTCTTTCATTTTTCCTAAATCATTTTATTTTAAACTAAATATCTCTTTTTCAGCAAACCATCATGATGATGTTACAACCAAAATACAGCAAGTTCGTGTCTTTGTTGGAGGTATGTACCCTTCCTGAATTTCTGAAGTAAAAAATGCTTCTTTAAGTTCTCTATAAAATTAGCAAGACTATATAAAGTCTAAGTACTTTCTGGAGAAATTCTTAAGTTTTTAGTTTGAGATTGATCAGGGCATAAAACTTTATTTCTTTATTATTATTAATGTACTTTATTGTTATTACAGAGGAAGTATAGAGGGATTACAATTACCTGAGTTAGGTAACGAGTACATTTCCTTTCACACAGTGACTTCTGTTCCTTATTCTCTCCTAGCCCCTCCCAGCTGTCTCCACCCATGAGTTGTGTAGCTCTCTTTCATCAGTGAGTTCCACTGCTGTACTTTTCCACTCTTTTTCCCCTCAAGTTCTGTACCCTCGCCTAAACTCTTCTAACGATATACACTTGAATACACCATACATAGAGTGAAGAAAGAATCATCAAAAGCTAAAAAAAAAAAAAGAGGTCTCTTATTTCCCTATCTTGGAGTTCGTTTCAGTGTGTATATTCCTTACATAAATATGAAGAGGCACTTAGGCATTGTACCTTTGTGTTTCTCTCCTAAAGGTATCCTCTTTTGGTTTTACTGTGTGTGAGTATCTAGGATCTTATATAAGTTATCATATCTCAGTGTATGTTAGATCTAATTTCCACATATCAGAGAGAACATATGTCTTTCATTTCTGATCTTGGCAACCTCACCTATTTGTTCTAGCTCCATCCATTTCCCTGCAAATGACATTATTGTATTCTTTCTGATGGCCGTGTCAAATTCCTTTGGGTATAGGTTCCACATTTTTGTATCTCCTCATCTATTGTGGGGCATCTGCGCTGTTTCCATATCTTGGCTATTGTGAATAGTGCAACAATGAATATGGATGTGCAGGTGTCTTTATCATATCCTGGCTCATGATGCCAAGGAGTGATATGGCTGGGTCATAGAGGAGGTCTATGTTTACTTTTTGAGGAATCTCCAGACTGCTGTTCAGAGTGGTTATTCTAGTTTACATTCCCACCAACCGTGCAGTAGGGTTCCTTTTCCCCCACATCCCCACCAACATTTGTTGCTGTTCAAATTCACTATGTTAGCCAATCTACCTGGGGTGAGATGGAATCTCAGAGTTGTTTTGATTTGCATTTCCTTTATGACCAGGGATGATGAGCATTTCCTCATATGTTTCTTTGCCATTCTTACGTCTTCTTCTGAGAAGTCTCTCCTTAGCTACCTTGCCCATGCAGTGATTGGTTTATCAGGTTTGGGTTTATCAGGTTAGTTTCTTGAGCTCCTTGTATATATTGGGTATTAGGCCTTTGTCTGATATATTGATGGCAAAGATCTTCTCCCAGTTTGTTGGCTGGCTTTCTAGTTTAGTAATTACATCCTTAGCTGTGCAGAAACTTTTCCTTTTGATGTAGTCCCACTTGTCAAGTCTCTCTCCTATCTGTTGTGCCTCTGGGACTCTATTCAAGAAGTTTCTACCTATAAGTTCTAATGTTTCTCCTAGTCACTCTTGCAGTAGTCTCAAGGTTTCAGGTCTGGTGTTGAAGTCTTTGATCCACCTTGAATTGATACTAGTGCATGGTAACAAACAGGGATTCACTTTTAGTTTTCTGCATATGGATGCTCAGTTGTCCCAACACCAATTAGTAAAGAGGATATTTTTTCCCCACTGTATGTCTTTGACTCCCTTATCAAATGTCGGATGACTGTATGTATGTGGTTTTATTTCTGGGTCTTCTAATCTGTTCCATTAATCTTCTGGTCTATTTTGTGCCAATACTAAGCTGGTTTTGTTATTATAGCTCTGTAGTAGAGTTTGAGGTCTGATATTGTGATACCACCCACATTGCTTTTTTTTGCCTAGAATTGCTTTGGTTATTCTAGGTCTTTTGTTGTTCCACATGAATTTTTGGATTGTTTTATCTAATTCAGTAAAGGATGTCATTGGGATTTTTATGGGGATTGCATTGAATTTGTATATCGTTTTTGGCAAAATGGCCATTTTCATTATATTGATTCTACCTACATATGAACATTGATGGTTTTTCCATTTCCTGGTGTCCTTTGATTTCTTTCTTGGGATTTTTGTAGTTTTTTGCTATAAAGATCTTTTACATCTTTCGTTAGGTTAATTCCTTCATATTCTTTTTTTGAGACTATTGTTTGCATGATTTCCATTTCTGCTGTACACTGTTGGCATACTGCAAGGCTACTAGTTTTAGTGGGTTAATTTTATATCCTTCTATTTGCCAAAGTGGCTCATCAGCTCTAGAAGCATGGGGATGGAATTTGTGTGGGTCCTTTAGGTATAAGATCATGCCATCTGCCAATAGGGACAGTTTGATTTCTTTATTCCCTATGTGAATTATGTCCTTTTCCTGCCTTATTGCTCTGGCTAGGAATTCTAGAACTATACTGAAGAGGATTGGAGAGAGTGGACATCGTGGCCTTGTTCCTGATTTTAGGGAAAATGGTTTTAGTTTTACCCCATGGCCTTGTTCCTGATTTTAGGGGAAATGGTTTTAGTTTTTCCCCATTTAGTACGATGTTGGCTGTTAGTCTATCACATATAGCCTTTGTTATTTTATGGAATGTTCCCTCCACTCCTAGCTCCTCCAGAGCTTTTAACATGAATGGATTTTGTATTTTGTCAAAGGCTTTTTCTGCATCTATCAGCTGATCATGTGGTTCTTGTTCTTGGCTCTGTTAGCCTGTTGAATTATATTTATTGATTTGCATATATTAAACCAACTTTGCATCTGTGGGATGAAGTCTACTTGGCTATAAGGTATGATTTTTTTTAATCTTTTCTGGATTCTGTTCTACTTTATTGAGGAGCTTTGCATCTATTTTCACCAGAAAAATTGGTCTGTGGTTCTTTTTGTTGTTGTTGTTGTTGGATCTTTACCTGGTTTTGGGATGAGTGTGATATTGGCTTCCTAGAATAAGTTTGGAATTTCTCTCTGTGTTTCTATTTCATGGAAAAGCTTGAGGTATATTGTTGTACATTCATCATTAAAAGTCTTATAGAATTCAGTGGTGTTAGTTCATCTTTAAAAGTCTTTTAGAATTCAGTGGTGAATCCATCCAAGCCTGAGCCTTTCATTATTGGAAGACTTCTGATTTCTTCCTTAATCTCCTTGCATGTTACTGGCTTGTTTAACTGATTTTTATCTTCATGGGTCAGCTTAGGCAGTTTGCATGTCTCTAGAAATTTGTCCATTTCTGCCAGGTTTTCCTTCTTTGGGGGGGGGGGGCAGTAGATTTTGAAAGTAGTCCTTTATAATCATTTGGATTTTCTTTTTAAATTTTATTTTATTGTAAATATGCTGTACAGAGGGGTTACAGTTACATGAGTAAGGTAATGAGTACATTTCTTGTCAAACATTTGGATTTCTGAATGTTTATTGTAATTTCTCCTGTGGCAACTCTGATTTTGTTTGAGTGTCATCTCTTCTTTTCTTCATCAATCTTGCTAGTGGTCTAAAGAACCAGCTTTTTGTTTAATTGATTTTATGCATAGTTTTTCTTAGTTCCTATTTCGTTGATTTCTGCCCTAATCTTTGTTCTCTCTGTCTAGTAGTTTTAGATTTGATTTGTTCTTGGTTTTTTGTTTGTTTGTTTTGCTGTATCCCAGAGGTTCCATTGTGATTTGCTTTCATTTTCATTGAATTTTAAAACCTTTCTAATTTCTTCCTGAATTTCTTCTGTGACCCAGGTGTTATTCAGTAGTGCGCTATTCAATCTCCATGTGTTTGAGTGATTTCTACAACATGTTTTGTTGTTAAACTACTTTGATTCCACTGTAGTTAAACAGAATGCAAGGAGTTATGTCAATCCTCTTGTATTTGCTTAGGTTCTTTGTGTGTACTATGATATAATCTATTTTGGAGAATGTTTCATGGGCTGCTGAGAAGAATGTGAATTGGGTCATTGTTGGGTGGAATACCTTGTAGATACCTGTTAAGTCCATTTGGGTAATGGTGTCATTTAATTCAGAGGTTTCTTTGCTTATCTTTTGTTGGTTGACTTGTCCTTTGATGAGAGTGGAGTATTAAAATCTCCCACTATTATGGTATTGGGGTCTATCATGTTCTGTAAGTCCACAACTATATGTTTAACATATTTAGGTGCTCCATTGTTTGGTGCATAGTGACCACTGAGATTTTTTCTTCATGGATCATTCCCTTCATTTATATGTAATGACATTTCTTGTCTCTTTGTACATTTTAATGAAAAATCTATTTTATCAGATACCAATATGACTACTCCTGTCTTCTTGCAGGATGCATTTGCATGGAAGATCTTTTTCCATCCCTTCACTAAGAATTTGTTTTTATCATTGACTGTAAGATGGGTCTCTTGGAGGCAACATATGGATAGATCAGGTTTTTCTGCTGTCAGCCAGGGCTGCAGAGGACACAGGATCCAGTACCCCAGGATTGGTCCTGGTGTTCTTCCTCTGGAAGCAGATGGGTTGGGGTGGGTGGCTTCTTTGTCCTCTTCAAGCATGGTGTCCCATCTCAGGCAGGAGGGAGGGACCCAGGCCAAGCACTCTGGGTCACTGTCAAGTGCTGGTCTCTGGTGCAGAGTGGGGTCCTTGGCAGGGTACTCCAAATTCCTGACATTGGTTCTGGGCTGAGCAGCAGCGTTGTGAAAGTTTTCTGGCTCTGGATGCTGTGGTCTCACTGTTGATCTGTGTCACTGTCTGCGCTGGTTGGGGTCCCCACTCTCACGGGGCCACTCTCATGGCTTAGCCATCCTACAGACCCAGGATGGAGGGTAGGGGGAAGGCACTTTACAGTTTTCCATCCTTGTATACGTTAGGTATAAGTTCTTATTTGTTCTTGTGATTCTATATTTGTTTATATTTTTCTTGTTGTCAGTCTCTTGGGATAAAGTGCATGTCAGAACCCTAAATCTCTGATTTGAGAGAGCTAGGGTGATTCCTATTGCTTTGTTACCACCTGAACTTTAACTCTTAAATGCAGGAAGCCAATATGGGGCATTCCTTGGATGAGGACGGACCATACACCGTTTTTGTTCCAAGCAATGAAGCACTAGATAGCATGAAGGATGGTACTCTTGACTACCTCCTTTCTCCACAGGTATTGTGTCCTACTGGCTCTGATGACTCTGTTAGCATCAATGTTTCAATCTACCCCTATATTAGCTTTTGCTAAACTACAGTATTAAGTAGTACAAGTATCACCACTTACATTGCCACAACCAAGGCAGACATCACTAGTCAATTACAGTGACTTCGAACTCTTCATTAGAGTTCCAACTGGTCAATTACACTTGGTGTAGGAAATAACACCTATTTACAACTGCTGTCCCAAGTGGTTGGTTTGATTTGTTTGATGTCTTCTAATGTTTCTGAGTAGTAAACTCAGAAATTTAACTTCTTTACAACTCTAAAACCACCTAGAGAATATATCTAAATTAGGCAATGTAGGCCTAGGCTAAGTGCTCAACCATACTCCAGCTTTTCTTGATGAATGGGTCAATAGTAATTGTTACTTACATGGATGCTGGGAGGATTAAATGTACATGCTCTATATTTTTTAGAACAGACTCTGTCACAGAGTAAAGACTGTCTAAATGTTATTTGGAATTTTTATCATCCTGGGTTTTCCAGCCTATAACTAGGCTGGGGAAAATATATTTCTGAGTCATATATTTTTATAACTAAATATACAAAATCATTTAAAGGATTCTCATGAAAAGGCTAGTGTAGTGTTTTCTTCATTGACTAAAGAAGTATTTTGGTGTTTTTGCAGGGTTCTCGGAAACTTCTGGAACTCGTCAGATACCACATTATTCCATTTACCCAGGTTGGCCTCACGCGTCCTGATACTACTATTCTCTTGCTTTCAAGATATCAGTTCCTGGTCTTAAATTTCAAAATTTTGATGCCAGAGAAACTTGTGACTTTTTAAAAAAGCTGCAGCTCTGGGCAAGTAGCCATTAAATAATGACTTCCTTATCAAAATCTTCAAAGTCACAAAAAACTCCTGACATCAAAGCTCCCATTATTTCTTCCCTGAAGCGTAAAGACTGTTAGCCTCGGGACTCTGTGCATTGCTCCAAATTTCTCCCTTGCTGTCTTTTTTGCAGCTGGAAGTGGCCAACGTTGTTTCCACTCCCCACATCAGGAGCATGGCCAATCAGAACATCCAGTTTAACACAACCAGCAACGTAAGTGGAAGCCCACAATTGGGATCTGTAGACTTCTGCCTTTTTAATCTGACAACAACCCCCATCAGGTTACCCCGCCTCTACACTAATCTGCAGGCTTAACATCTCCTTAAATCCATCCATTAGGCAATCAACAATCAATAAAATGCTTCATGACAAATGACAAGGAGTACCCAGAAGGCTGTGAAAGCACCCAGCAGGAGTCTGAGAAGGGCTTCGCAAAGGTGGTGCAGCTCAGACAGGCTCTGCAATGAACTTAGAAGGGCTTCGCAAAGGTGGTGCAGCTCAGACAGGCTCTGCAATGAACTTGGCAGGAATGAATAGAAAAGAATTTTGAGAAGAAGGGAAAGCATGTACAAAGGCTCTGAAGTAGAGGGAACATGACATTCCTAAGAAACTCTGTTTGTGAATGAATGGATCTTCACTTGGCCATAGGAAGGTGGAACAATGTGCCCAAGGCACATGAGCTGTAGAGGTGAAATAGTTCCACCTCTATCCAACTCAGGCTGTGTAGGGACCTTTATTCAAGGACACACTGGTCTGATGTCAAGAATCCATTCAACAAATACAGTCACTTCCTGTTGGCCAAACCCCTCCAATAGCAACCTTCCTTCTGATGAAAACAAGTGATGTAAGAAGGCTTTTGAATGAGGGTGCTATATTTGTATAGAGATAGATATTTTTGTCTTTAGGTGGTCTTACAAAGGAGTTACAATACATTTTGACAAATGTCACTTTTTTCAACATTCTCACCCATTCCTCCCCTCCCCTCACTCTTCTTAATTTTGCAGGAGATCTATTGGATTCTTGAACACATTTCCCCCTCTTCTCTTCTTTCATCCCCGACTTTCCCCGTTACCTCAACCCACCTCTTTCAAGTAACCACTTCCTGGTGTTTTATTTTGCTGAACTTTGATTTTTGCCTTTCTATGGAACTACACCATTTGAGATCTTCCTTGAATTGACTGTATTTCAGTGCATACATTTGTCTACATTTGCATACCACCCAACCTACTACTTATGAGTTTGTAAGCTAAATCTTGCTTCCACATATAAGGAAAAACCCAGAGAGGTAGAAGGTGCTAATATTCGTACTGCGGGGGGACTGCCTGGCACCCTGCAGCACAGAAAAGAAGATACTATTCTTTCTTTCTAGGGACAGATTCTGGCAAATGAGGTGGCAATGGATGAAACTGAAATCACTGCCAAAAATGGCCGGATCTACACACTGACTGGAGTTCTCATTCCTCCCTCCATCATTCCAATTCTGCCCCATATATGCAATGAAACAAGGAGAGAAACTAAATTGGTAAGAAATGAAATTTTAAAAAAGTCCCCAGCTGGGCACTAGTAGCTCACACCTATAATCTTAGCAACTCAGGAGGCTGAGATCTAAGGATAATGGTTCAAAGACAGCCCAACCAGCAAAGTCCAGGAGATGTTAATCTCCAATAAATTACCCCCAAAAAAAGCTGGATATGGAGCTATGGCTTGAGTGGTATAACACTAGCCTTGAGCAAAAGAAGCTCGGGGACAGCACCCAGACAGACACTGAGTTCAAATCCCAAGACTGGCACCAAAACCAAAAAGGTTCCCAACAGACAATTTTCTTTTTTTTTTTTTTTAATTTTATTTTATTTTATTTGAGAGCATACTGTACAGAGGGTTTACAATTACATGGGCAGGATAATGCATACATTTCTTACCAAGCATTGCAGCCTCCTCCTTTGTTTACCCTTCACCACCCTTCCCAGCCTCCCCCCCACCCCCCACCCAATCCTTCCCCCCCCCACACCGACATTGTAAAGCTCATTTTTGACATGACATTTTGTACTTCTCATTGTTGCAACAGGTCCACCTAAATCCTTAAACGACTTGTTTGTCCCCATCTCCTCCACAAGTTATACTGACATCAAATATAGTGAAAGCGGGGGTTACACTGTGGGGAAGGGACATACAAAGCAACAAAGAAATAATCTTATAAATGTGTTAGAAACACATGCATGAAAGAAAAAAAAAACATTAAAATACATATTTAAGGGATCGTATTCCTAACATCACATTATCTGACCTTTTCCGCTTGACTCATACATATACTAGATATTGCATATAAGGGAAACCATGGGACCTATGTTTCTTTGGGCCTGGCTTACTTCACTTAATATAATTTTTTCCAAGCCTTTCCATTTCCTAACAAATGGGGCAATGTCATTCTTTCTGATGGAGGCATAGAATTCCATTGTGTATATATACCACATTTTCTTGATCCATTCATCTACTGAGGGGCATCTGGGTTGGTTACATATCTTAGCTATGGTAAATAATGCTGCAATAAACATAGTTGTGCTGGTAGCTTTAGTGTGGTCTTGTTTGTAAACATTTGGGTAAATGCCCAAAAGTGGGATTGCTGGGTCATAGGGGAGTTCTATGTGAAGTCTTTAGAGGAACCTCCATACTGCTTTCCAAAGTGGTTGAACAAGTTTACATTCCCACCAACAATGAAGTAAGGTTCCTTTCTGTCCACATCCCCTCCAGCATCTGTTGTTGTTAGAGTTCTTGATTTTTGCCGTTCTAACTGGAGTGAGGTGATATCTCAATGTTGTTTTGATTTGCATTTCTTTTATGGCTAGGGATGTTGAACATTTCTTCATGTGTCTATTGGCCATCCTTCTTTCTTCTTCAGAGAAGTTTCTCTTTAAGTCTTTCGCCCACTTATTTATTGGGCAGTTGTTTCTTTGAGGATTTGTTGTTGGGGGGGTTAATTTTTTGAGTTCCAAGTATATTTTAGATATGAGACCCTTGTCCCCAACAGACAATTTTCTTATCTTCTTATCTGCACACATACTTCTGAAAAAGCTGAGAAGGAGAGCCCCTGGTATTTGCCACCATGAAGGGGCTGTGGGCCCTAAGTCCCATAGAACCAACGGTAGACCATGGCCAAATTCATGCATTCCTCATGCTGCCATAACAAATGACCACACACTGGTTGTTTTAACACAACAGTCATTTATTCTCTTAAAGTCTGGAAGCTAGGAGTCTAAAACCAAGATGTCAGCAAAGCCATCTCCCCCCTCAAGGTCCTAGGCTCCTTTGAGTTTATTGTGGTTGTTTGAAGTTACGGTATTTCTGTGTTGCCCAGGCTGGTCCCAAACTCCTTCTGATCCTCCTCCTTCAGGATCTCAAGTAGGTGGAACTACAGGCATGAGTCACTGAGCCTGGCTAACTTCCACACTTCAGTCTCAGCAGCCCTTACATTTATCAGTCCACAGCTGTATTACTCCCATCTCCACCTCCACCTTCAGGTAGCCTTCTTCCCTATGTTTCTCTGTGTCACTTATCCCTTTATGTATAAGGATATTGGTCACTGGACTTAATTCAGTGTGGCTTTATCTTCGCCTAATTATTCACATCCAAAGAGATCCCATTTCCTAAGAAGGCCACATCCTGAGGGTTTGGGAGGAGGGACATACATTTTGTTCCGTTACTATTCAACCTACTACACGCTAGCTCTGGGCAGTCTCTCAACCTTTCTGCTCCTGGACCATTATTCGCTACAAGAAGGACTAAAAATTTCCTTACGGACAGATGCTCAAATCTAATGAATCAACCTGTCATGCTGTTGCTGTTCTTTCTCCAAATACCTCACTTTTTGTTTCTCTGTGAGCTTCTCCACCCTCTGCTGCTCTTTACTGTTTCCATAGCAACTTCTTTTGGCTCAGTCAGTGTTAATCAGATCACCCCCAAATTCCAATATCACTCGACATGCAGTCTTTTAATTTCCTGTGCAAACTGCAACCTCAAAACGGTGGCAATAATAGGTCTGACTCTTATCAGGACACTTCAATAACACATCAATGATTGTTCTCACGATATCTTTGGAACATGGACGCAGAATAAGGAGGATGGCCTCCTTTACTTTATCTTATCCTCTTTTTTAATTATATTTTATTATCTTTTAAGTAGTTGTACAAAGGTGTTACCATTCAATAGATCAATTTATAAATACAACGCATCTTGAGCAATGTCACCCTTTGTCATTCTCAGCTTCTCTCAACCCAACCCCTCCCTAAATTTGCTTAATGTCATAGGATATACATTGAATGTTATGACTGCATACTCCCCCTGCCTTTCTCTCTTCATTTGTCTACCCTTGTATTCCTTTTGTTGGCCTGTGAGTTCATTTTTCTAAGGAACTGTACCAGTTGAATTCCCCTCTGCAAAATACTCTACTTTGTTCAATACATTTATGTTTGTGCACTTGCATACAGTCCATAAGTGTTTGCTGGTACATTTATATATTAGTTATACTCCCATATATGAGAGAAAACATGTGTCCTTGGTCTCTCTGGGCCTGATTTCCTTCACTTAACATAAATTTTCCCAAATCCATCCATTTCTTTGCAAAGTGATGTAATACCATTCTTCCTAATGGATGAGTAAAACTCCATTAGGGCTGGAAATAGCGACCTAAACACTTGCACAAGATGGTGGTTGACTTCTTGGTTCTTTTTAAGCTACCAAGAAAGCCTGTTTCAATTAAATGGCATCTAGGTGATTTTGTCCCATTCTGACGACCCCCCTTCTCAAAAGAGATGGAAACGGGGTCACTTCTTAGCCAGACCTTGGAAACAATGTTTGCTGGGTTCATGCTTTAGAAATAAGCACTGGCAGGTGCATTTGCCTGACTTTGGTCAGGGTGAAGATCAGAACAGGCCAGAGAGTGGTCTTGCTTTCAACCCAGAGGCGCAACTATTAGGAAAATTGGTCCCTGAAGAAACGAGGAAGGAAGGAAAAAGGAGTCGATAATTTAACATGTCCTCCAGAGCTTCCCCATGCCAAGCAGCTACTGCTCAAGTTCAGATAGAGAAGTCTGGAGGATCAAGAGCAGAGTCTGAGTTACCTGAACCCAGTGACCAAGGGAAGAATGGAAGAAGTAGCACCCATCAGAAGCTAGGGGTGATGTCAAAGAAGAAAGGGAGCAGGGAGGATGTCCTTGACCTCACTCTCCTCTCCTGCCAGTCCCCGGCTGGCCTTCACTCTAGCCAAAGCCAAAGCAGCCCAAGGAACTGCTCCTCATGGCCTACTTGCTGAGGCCCAGAGCAAGATGGAAAAAGTCACAGTAGATCTGGAGAGGTTTGTTTTTTTTCCTGGTTTCAGGACTAATAAAGGAGATGTCAGTAGACTGGAAGGCAGAAGTTCAATGTTCAACCTTATTAGTGCCAAGCAACTAGGAGGTCCTGGAACTGGTAGACCATTGCAGGACCCACTCTGGGGCAGGTGCCTCCCTGTAGCCAGAGATTCGAAGGCTGAGCCCTTGACTAGGTTGGCTTTGTTCCAAAAGAAGGAAGCGAAGGGCTTGTTCTGAGCAGGTGCTGTACTGACTTGCTGTCTTTCCCTCTAGGGCACCTGTGTGAACTGTTACCTGATACATCGCAGCAAATGTCCGCCTGACTCCCAGATCTCAGTGAGTGCATAAGACAACTCCCAAGCAACTCTTTGATGTGGTTCCTTTAAAAGCTGTAAATGTGGGGCTGGGAAGGTGACTCAGTGGTAGAGTGTTTGCCTTGCATGCATGAGGCCCTGGGTTCGATTCCTCAGCACCACATAAGCAGAAAAAGCCAGAAGTGGTGCTATGGCTCAAGTGGTAGAGTGCCAGCCTTGAGGTGAAGAGCTGAGGGACAGTGTTCAGGCCCCATAATCTACAAAAAAAAAAAAAAAAACCGATGTAAATGTACCTGGTGTAATATAGGACTATAAAGGAGGATAGTTGGAAAGAGAAATCAGGGATCCATATTTGAATCCTAGCTCATTAGCCCTTGGTAAGTTGTTTAAGCTTTCTACCCTAATTCTCCTCACCTTTAATGAATAACAACAGCCAGGTGCTAGTTAGGATTACACCTGTAATCCTAACTACTCAGGAGGCTGAGATCTGAGAATTGTGGTTCAAAGTCAGCCCAGGCAGGAAAGTCCCTGAGACTCTTATGTCCAATTAACCACCAGAAAACTAGAAGTGACCCTGTGGCTCAAAGTAGTAGAGGGCTAGCCTTAAGCAAAAGAGCTCATGGACAGTGCCCAGGCCCAGAAGTCAAAACTAAAAAGACTAACAACAGTGATAGCA